TCACACCCATAACAAGGAGAGCAGCCAAGAGGAAGGAAGTGGTCTGAGGCTCTGCAAGCCTGAGGGGCAGCCTCCTCAGCCTGCTGCTCAGAGATGAGGTCACACGTGACAGATCCAGTCAGTGTGTGGAATCGGGAAGTCCCACAGCCCCCCTAACAACTCTCTTGGATGGATGTCACCTTCTCCACCTCCACCACCTAGAGTAGAAATGGCTCTCAAACACTAAACAGGCACAGGAGTGAGTACCCGTATAAAACATGCCCAAGGAGCTAGAAAGTGACAGGCATCTGAGTGACATAGCCAACAGACACACTGCTTAGCCTGCACAGAGTTTTAAGACTGGGAAAGTTTACGTACAGATCTCGACATCCAGCTTCCCTTGAAATGTTGGATCATCAGGCAACAGTGGGTCTGCAATCCCAAGTAGAATCCAAGAGGCATGCCCACTTCGGCCGCCCTATACACGGCAGCCACGGCTATTTCACACCACCTGCATGGAGTCTCAAAGCCTTGACCTAAGTGTTACAATTTTTATAGCTCACACTACACTGAATGGAAAATCAAGCAACATAAATCTAGAATAAGTAAACATTAAGGTTTCTGAGATTTTTATTTCCACCTCCCTTACCACAGTACCCAAGCCCCGACACAGAAGCAGTAGCTGAGGCTCTGGGGAGCCAGGGGAAGAGGGAGGGAGAGGGCAAAGGACAACGCATGCCAGGAGGAGCTAGCAAACGCATGCCACAGGCCCAGCACACCAGCGTGACACAGTGTGGGCTCCTGCCCTCACTCTCGTGACCACAATCCAACACCAGGTGGGAGCCTCGAATGCCTTCATCCCATGCATTACAGTTGTCAATGGGCCTTCACCAAATATCGAAACTGATCACACACACAAATCTGAACCTCAGACCCTTTGGCTTCTCCCATTTGGACAGGTGCTCTCCTCCCTTCCTACAAGGAAGCAGAGAGGATCAGATTTCCCCTTAGCAGGTTCAGAGAAAAGGGAAGTGGGGAGAGTGAAATCCAAATCTCCCAAACAGAGGTGGGTAACGGGCTGTGCCACCCAGGGCCCAGGCATAGCTAGACACGACTTCCAGAAAGAGCGAACCTCCAACCCGTTGCACTACAAAGGTTGGTAATCTTTTCTATTATCTCTCATATTGTCTAAATCCTAAGGCGAATTATGAAACCAAGAAAGGGGGAGTACATTTTGAAGAAGTGAAATGTCTTTTGCACCCTGTCCACACTACTGCACAGCTGCTTCTTACCAGAGAACAGCTTCGCCATACCGGTTCTTCCAATACAATTCTAATGACTGCTTTATTATTATTGTTCATAATAACAGCTTTCAAAACACATTTGTATAGTGCTTCATAATTTTCAAAGTGCTCATGGTTTCTTAGAGATGAACAGGGCACGTGCTCCGTGCCTACTTAACAAACAAGGGCACTGAGGCACATAGCCTTGACCTCGCTCAAGGTCACACCACTGATCAGTCAACACAGTGTGGCCCCTCATACATAAATTCCAGAAATATATACAGTGACTCAATAGTCATGAAAACACTAATTCCTGGTAAAGAGTAAACAAAGAGGTAAAACTTTGTCATTTGCATACATATACATACAAACCTTGATAAACCCCCCCCCCACACACACACACACAATGTCAAAGCCATATTTTCAAAATTAATCTAATGTTAAGTATTACAGAAGGGTCTGTCCATTCAGTAGCCAGATTATTGAGAAAAGGTGACCAGTGTGAATTACAAGTTTAAAATATATTTTTTGT